TATCTGGACTTCTACCCTTTCCATAAACAGCTGAGATTGCGGAAACTTCGGTTGGATCTCCCAATGGCGTTGAAGTTGCATGGGCTTCCACGTAATCGATGGTTGACGCGTCAATTCGAGCTACGCCTAGTGCCTTCCTCGCTACCAGCTCTTGCGCCTTCTGATTTGGGGCCATGATTCCATTTGTGCGCCCATCCTGAGCAATCGCTGTCCCTTTCAGGGCAGCCAGGATGTGATCACGGTCCTTGACAGCTTCTGCCATATTTTTAAGAATAACCACTGCGGCTCCTTCACCGCGACCGTAACCGCTGGCTGCGTCATCAAACGAGTGGCAACGGCCATCGGAGGATAACGCACCGGCTTTGTCAAGTACACTTGTCAGACCTGGACCGAGAATAGCGTTTACTCCTCCTACAATGGCGACCTTGGACTCTCCACTCAGGATTGCCTGTCTTCCCAAATGGATGGCGACCAGTGAAGATGCGCAAGCAGCATCTACTGCAGTACTTGGACCCACCAGGTTCAGATGGTAAGATATTCGGTTGGCAACGCCACAATAAGCGGTCCCTATCCCCATCCACGGTTCCACGTTGGGCAAGTCTTGTAGGAGCAGCTTTCCATAATCATCAGAATTCACGCCCATGAAGACAGCCGTGTCGGATCCGGACAGGCTGCTCAGAGGAATGCCTGCATTCTCCAACGCCTCCCACGTTACTTCTAATGCAAGGCGCTGTTGGGGATCCATCTGCTCTGCCTCCTTGGGCGAAATGCCGAAAAAGCTTGCATCAAAGTTCTCTAGATTCTCCACGAAATAGCCCCGCCGGGGCACTTTACCGATACTCCTTGCGTTATGTGGGTTACGCTGGTATAGCTCCCACCGCAGGCTAGGTATCTCACTCGAGGCGTCGACTTTTTGGAGGATTGACCGCCACAGTTCTTCAGGGGTGTTATTGTTCCCAGGTAGACGACATCCCATACCCACCACCGCAACATCATGTGAAATATCCTGGAACATATTAGCACTCCAATCCCTGATATGGCCCGTATCTTCGACGGGAAGGGGTCCTTACGTTGTCCTCCATCTCGACTCGTGTCGTACAGCTCAGAAACAAAAGGAACGTTGCGAACTTCAACCAACCAAATATATACAGTGATTTCCTGGGCTGATGCTAGTGTTTGTTGATATGTAATGGCCCTAGGTGATGGACGGGGTATCGATGAGTGTAAGGAGTGTTGGGTCAGGGGCGTGGAACTCTCCTTGCAACATTATATATATGGTGTAAGCCTTGATCGAGTCGTGTGCCTTGAAAGTCCCACACTGCTTGTAGAGGGACCCAGCTCCACAGCGCAAGAGATTTAACGGCGCCCGATCTAGGAAATCGTGCCATATGAGTCCCTTGCATCGTTACGCTGCCACCTCCTTGCCGCCTGGCGCGAGAATATTTACGAATTACGCTTAAGGTTTATCCTAAAGTTCGCATGATCTAGAATCTTGGAAGCAGGGCGGGTCTTCCCAGCGCGAAGGAAAATCCGTTATGCACTGGAATGCAGCTGGAGTTGCTCAGACACATGCTCAATGGATATTAGAGTGATTGGTTTATCGTGATCTAGGTCACATGCGCTATTAGCTGGAAACCGACCGAAAGCCACAAGTACGAGTACGGATCCATCCCGAGGCCCACCACAACCTGGGTTAATCCCTTGATAGTACGCCACCGACAGTTAGACATCCTGCTCCGACACTTACCCAGGCGAGCAAAGCGGCCAGTGAGAAGTTTCCTTTTATGGCTGCTTCCCGTGGTCGCTGACTCGCCTCTTGTTCGATGCTGCAGGGCGATAGAAAGGAACCAAGGAACTAAAAGACAAGGCCTGGCAGATGTGAGGTGCCCTTCATGTAGCTCAAGTAACAGTACTGCCCATGACATGTCCCGGTCACGATCACGATCGGCTTATCTGACAGCTGTGCATCATTGAAGTACATGGTTCATTGGGGTTGCAAAACTCATGCTCCATGAATACGTGTCAGTCAGCCATAGATCCACACCAAAGGCTGAGGTGGAGGAGCAGTGGTACGACTATCACGCGAATGGATCCCCTAACATCGTCTGTATACCCAGGAAAGGATACCATCGGCTTAGTTCGGATGCAGATGGCCATCCTAATTGCCTCAAACAACCCATATCTGTCATGACCTCCATTGAGCCGGCTGCGAAAGGGGGAAGCGCTGAGATGGTTTGAAATTCATCAGCGTGGAGCATCCAGTGGGGACAATCTAGCAGATGCATCAGTACATGGAAATAGACGGAAATTCTGAATCCTTGAGGGTACTTTGAACTCGAACTCTATGCTAGGCCGAAGCCGCATAATCCTTTCTTTGTTGCGTATGCGGGAAGTCGCTTTAGATCAGGCAGCAAAAGGCGATGAACGATGTATTCATCGTGTAAAATGAAACACAGAAAACAAAAGAAGATGGCGGAAGGCAGGGGCAGATAATAAAAGAGGGAAAATAAAGGCCGCCGGGAAACAAAGAATAGGCACAGACCACCTATAGTGAGGCACTGATAAGTCGATTTTCGTCTATGCACCGAGAACCGACTCCGTACTTTAGGGACTTTACTTGGCTAAATATTCGTGGGATCTTCTACCGGATCATGCAGTGCAACAGGAGCAATGCAGGCTTCGTGTATAATGAGGCATCTGGATCACTAGTTCGATCAAGAGAAGAGTGTCCACTACCACTAGTGCGAAGTACGGGGGTCGTTAGGTTATGCATGGGTCATGTGCGCCTGCGGCCTTCGATGAACTCTGGACTTCGTTCCTTGTTCTGGTCTGCTTTTGCCTCAACCCTTTAAACTTTGTAACTACCGCATTATGATGACGGACTTATTTCTAAGGATGGCTATTCTGCCATCAGAACTTTGCGTTTCCCGCCTGTTGCCTTGGTAGGAAGGAACTGCATCCAGGATCAACAGTGAGCCTATCTTCTGGACTCCTAAATGACCTGCTAAACCGACTCTAATAAGTCCTTAGGGGCCAACGCACTCAACACGATTATTTCCTCCCGACCCAGCGTGATGTTAATATTTCTCGGATTGCTATGCCTCTACACCGGCCTCTATGTGGCCCGGACGTATTGGAGATTAAGGCGCTTCCCCGGTCCGCTTGTAGCGCGGTTTACGGACCTAGGAAGGCTCTGGTGGGTGAAAACTTCTCGCTCGCACCATCACCATATGGGGTTACACCGTCGCTATGGCCATTATGTTCGGTTAGGGCCAAATATGATATCTATCTCGGACCCGGACGCCATTTCACTGGTATATCCGATTCGCCCGGGGGTTCCAAAGGTGAGTAAGACGCAGACACCTGGCCCAATGTATCAAGCGATGACATCTGTGCTGACGTGGATGGGTCTGTCAAGAGTGATTTTTATCGGTCAATGATGCCTTATACCAGGAAAGGCCGCTCATTGCCGCTCGTATTCAACACCCGGGATGAAGACCTTCATAAGAGACTCAAGACTCCTATTGCACACCTGTACTCCTTGTCGAATATCCTGACATTCGAGACCTTTGTCGACCAAGTTCTTGAAATTTTGTTTCGCCAGCTTGAAGAACGATTTGTTCCCGGTCAGGTGGCATTCGATCTCGGAAACTGGTTACAGTACTTTGCATTTGACGTGATGGGGACCATGTCTTTCTCTCGGCGATATGGATTTTTAGAGAAGGGGCGAGACGATACGGGTCTGCTTTCGGCTATCTGGGCTTTTATGAAGGCTGCTGCACCGGTGAGGTAGATCAACCATGGCAGCCATCGAATAAGCCTAGCTAACTTGCCATAGGTCACGCAGATGCCATGGGTTGATTTGGTGTGGAATAAGAACCCCGTTGTCGCTCTATTTCGGGCTACACCAGCACAACCGATCTTGAACGTCGTGCTGTCAAGAATTAACGAACGACGAGAGGAGCTCTCCAATACTATGAGTACTTTGGAGAAGGTAAACGAAAAGGATTTTCTGTCTCGGTTCATGCACATCCAGTCGGACAGCGACGCTATTCCACCCTGGTGAGTGAGCCGTGGTAATAATGTCTTCCCGCTTAAACTGACCCAACAGGGCTGTGACGGCGTGGTCATTCTCTAATGTGATTGCGGGCTCAGACACGACCGCTGTGGCCATGAAAACACTCTGGCATAACTTGCTCTTGCATCCAGTGACTATGCATCGCCTGCGCAAGGAACTTGTCCAGGCCCAACAGCAGTCGAAGCTGTCTTCTCCGTTTCCGGCATGGAGCGAGATTTCCGGATTACCGTACCTCAATGCTTGTGTCAATGAAGCGCTCCGGATACATCCACCATTCTGCCTCCCTTTCGAACGAGTCGTTCCCGCAGAAGGAATGACTATCGGCGATCATTTCTTCCCCGGTGGGACAGTGATCGGGATGAACCCCTGGGTAATCAACCGTCATCAGCCAACATTCGGCGAGGATGCAGACGCCTGGAGACCTGAAAGATGGCTTGAGAATCCAGTTCGCACTCGGCAAATGGAGAACGCTCTTCTCAGTGTGAGTTCATAATGCTATTCTTGACACGAATGGAGAGTAACGGTCAACTGTCTAGTTCGGCGCTGGGAGGCGAGTATGCCTTGGCAAGAATATTGCACTGTTAGAGCTGAAGAAGCTCACTTCCGCTCTTATGCTTCATTACGAGGTCTGTAATACATGTCCACTCCCCTGGCAAAAATCGCGAAAGATGTCTAACTATGCACAGTTGGAGATCGTAAACCCGGAGAAATTCCAGTCCCAGAATTTCTTTTTCTTCAAGCAAGAAGGGTTATATGCGGCAGTCAAGAGACGGTCTGCAAGTTCGCCAGAGCTATACCCGGACGATGTGATTCATCATTAAATCTTGCCCTAGCTGGTTTTTGACGGGCTGTGGATCGATGATAGTGGCGTGGGTCGAGAAGCTGCTGGATAGACACCGCTATTCCTGGATATGTATGTATCATACAATACCGTACAGTACACAGACGTAAAAGATTGGGCCATGATGGCGCTATGCCTGAAACAGACGCGCTAGACCAAGCTTGGCCGACCGCAGGGTATTTCGGTATTGCAAAACCACCCCAAGTCGGCCAGTGACTCAATTCATCGCCACTACATCTCCCATCGAGCCTCCTCGGAGGCATTATATGTATCATTGGAAACTGGGCTTCTTCAACGGCATTGGTTTTACTTAATTGACGACCTAGTTTGGTTGGTTCCATTGGACTTTCGTGCTTTCGAGACTCTGGATTCAGAAATTGATCACTAGGTAGACGCTCCCAGCATGTATCTACCGTTCTGGCTCGCTAAGCGTCGAAATAGAGTTGACACTCAATCGTGTCTGAGTTTTCAGTCCATCGTACCCACAGGATTCTATTGTTTCCAGGTATCTACTTCGACTATTTCTAAACTGCTGGACAGTTGATCGTGATCTTGACCGACATTTTACGGGAGCAGCTGTAGTAAAGACTCAAGATGATAGAGACCGCCCATCCCTACGTGAAGGAGCTCGAGATTGCTTGCCTAGCGGTGCAAAGAGCTACCTTGTTGACGAAAAAGGTGCTCGATGCGGTCGACAAGGGGGCCTTGGACAAAAGCGACTCGAGCCCTGTGACCATTGCGGACTTTGCTGCCCAAGCATTGATCATTGGGGCAATCCATCGTGCGTTCCCGGACGATGACATTGTGGGCGAAGAAGACTCTAAGGCTCTCCGGGCGAACGAGGCCCTGCTCGAGCGTACGTGGGAGCTCGTCTCCTCCATCCATCTCAACGATGAGACGAGTGAGGCGCTCCTTTACTCCCCGAAGGACAAGGAGGAGATGCTCGACTTAATTGATTTGGGTGCCCGCGGCACCTGTAACCGGGAGAACCGCTCGTGGGTCTTGGACCCGGTAGATGGCACTGCAACGTTTATTAATGGACAGCAGTATGCGGTCTGCCTGGCACTTGTAGAGAACGGGGTCCAAAGGCTCGGCGTTCTGGGGGCTCCCAATCTCAACCTTGAAACGGGCCGCATGCACGAGGATATTGTGGACCGGGATGGGTATGGGTCTCAACTCTTCGCCGTTGCCGGTCACGGTGCGTTCATGCGGAAGATGGGTACCGGGGCCCTCCTGCCCGCTAACCGCATCGATGCCAAGCCTCAGATCACCGACCCTAAGGATCTTGACTTGGTGGATTGCGTGGCGGCCACTTCCTCGAATATTGTCGCGCATGAACGCCTTGCGTCCCACCTTGGCGCGCCGTGGCCACACACGACGGATCTTTGGGCGGCCCAGCTGCGATATGTCGCCATTGCGGTCGGTGGCTGCAATACCTTGATCAAGATCCCACGCAACGCGTCCTATCGATCGAAAATGTGGGATCACGCAGGGGGCATGCTGATCGTGCAGGAGCTAGGATGTACCGTCAGCGACCTTGCCGGCAATCCGGTGGACTGCGGCCTCGGCAGGACCCTGGCCGGGTGTTACGGAATGATAGTGGCGCCGGCCTCCATCCACGGACGGCTGGTTGAAGCCGTAAAACAGATCATGTAGAACGAATACAAATCTGATTCCTTCCGGAGTTTACGTTGGACCACTTGGTTTCTTATTTTCTATTTTTCTCACATGCGTTTGCTGCGTGACGGTGTAGGGGGGAAAAAAAAAAAAAAGAAAGAAAAAGAAACAAAGGTATTGGTTTTGGGATGCACAGGAAACTACTAGTACAACTACTCTTCGCACCAAACTTGAAAGTCGGAGTGTGTACCAGATCGACCGATGTGGGGCTTTGGGTTTATGCATATTTTCTCCCAATTTTCTTGATCGGATTTCATGATGGCATGATCTTTTCATGACCCGGCCCGTGACGTCATGACCCCATCTCACCGTAAAATACCATACAATACTATACTATCCTACTGTGTATCTAGTCCTATACTATGTATGTTCTGCGCAGTGATCTGGAGAAAACAAACAAGAAACAAAGAAGGAAGAACAAGGATGGACAGAAGGACTATACCCGAATGGTTCAAGTGAGAGTCACTAAGGAAGTAAATTTACGAACGACTACTAGTTAGTACTAAACTTAGTAGTCATAGGAAGGAGTTTGGACTCTGTCCGAGTTGGTGTGGGTGAGAACGTCAGAAGATCCCGAAATGCGGGGGTACGACGATACTACGTCTGAAAGTATCAGTGACCTCGCTCCTATATATATCAAATTCTGCCACCTCCTTTCATCTCTTCTTACCCCCCCGCAGTCGTACATACGACGACGATTATACTATTCGATACGGCTACTAGTAGTAGTACGACGGTGATGGCTTCTTGTAAGTGATGTTCCGGAGAAGGCAGTCCTCCCCCCTTCGCTAACCTGCGTCACTGGTCAAGATAATCCATTCGCCCGGCAAGAGTCGCACGGATCCTATTCCCTGGGGTCCTACCGTCTGCTGGTGCCTTTGTCGTGGTTGCTGGTGGTGGTGGTCGGGATCTACTATACCGTCCATGCCCCCGATGTCAAACACGGTCATGCCATCTTCAACCAGGCCAACCACCATATCACGCCTTTCAGTCAGAGCACAACGGTCACTGGCATTTACTGGTCCGTCTTATCCCTGTTTGGTTTGCTTCTTGCTTTTCCTTTTCGTTCCGAGCAGGTCTCTGTGCCAACTCTACCAACGCAAATTTCAAAACATGTAAACTAGACCACTAGACTGACCTCGATGCTGTAGGATCCTTCTCCTAATCTTCCAACTCAGCTATGTCTACCATCTTTTCCATAAAGATGCCTCGATTGTGACGGCAACCGCCAACGTGGGTGCGCATTTTATTCTGAATAACCTGTTCATCTTCGCCTGGATCCTCCTCTGGACTCGGGGCCACTTCTGGGGTTCCGAGGTTATCTTGATGGCCCACTTGGTCAATCAGCATACGGCGTACTGGCGACATCGCGCGTTGCCCCCACTGGTACATTTGTCCGCCATCGCAGGGCCCTTTGCCTGGACGCTGATGGCGCTGTTCTGGAACGGTGCCGTCGCCGTGCATAGCAACTCACTGCCGGCGAGGATCGTCGCGAATGTCTTCATCTGGGTGATCTTCGTCATCGGGACAACCCATATTACAGTGGGGCAGGACGATCTCCTCGGCTACTGCTTGAGTTTCTTGTTTCTCGGTGAGGAACAGATGGTCTCGGAGGGTTGTTACGTGGATAAACGGCTGACCCCTATGCAGGATTGGCACTGAAGCAAATTGCCGTCAAAACCATTGCCCTGCAGTGGATTTTTGCCTTTGTGATCTTCGCGATCTTCCTGGCGGAGTCGTTCTATATCACTGGCACGAAATATACCGGGCGCGACGTTTTGTTCCGCAAACTCACCCACCCCGAAACGGCGGATCGCGAGCGAGAACCGCTGCTCAATGAGCAGTCAGAAGCGGCGGCCTGAGGATGGGTCGCCCACCAAGCCCTTGGTCCCACGACGGTGCTGCCAGGAGTCATTTGGAATCGGGACCCCAAATTGACCTGTTTTGTTTTTCTGTTCGGCTGAAACTGGGCGGATGCAATCGGAATTGGACGATTGCTGCACGGAGTCTGGATCTCCACTTTTTGTTCCACTTGAATTCAGCTCCTTCGTCATGGCTTGCGCTGGAAATTGATCGACTCCAAACTAGGAGTGCTGTAATATGTGATGGTGAATGTTGAATTAACTAGTTTCGTGGATCTGGCATGAGGTTGTTTGATTTATCTATCTATCTACTCATCTACTCATCTATCTATTTAATCTACTACTACTGATTTAGTTGTGGTCACTGCCGCCGCTAAAGCATTTCAATCTAATCAGGTGCTCCACCCGTGATGGTTTTGGGTCTTGTACAAGTCGATTCCATCGGTCGACGGTGACCGAGACTAGCATAACTTGCATAAGGGATTCATGGAACGGCGACACGGGGACTGGAGTTAATCTCAGTACTGTGCCAATGTCTCGGAGTGGGCGGAAGGGCACAGGGGATGTTTGGCGACTCCACTGCAAGGAGACTTGGCTCCTACCAGCACCCGTTGCCTGGGCGACGGGCAGCGCCTCCACGTTGCTCCATTCACTGCGATCGGACTAAAAGGCCGGTATCCATGGGAAAGTCGCCAGGTACGGAGCCTGGATTTAATTGACTAAATTTCTCCCTCCTTTGACGCGTGTGATATTGACGTCTGCACCGCGATCGTGGTTTGTTTATGAACAAGCTAGCACCCGACTGAATCATCATCCTGGAGAAAGCTTCGCATATCGACCTGCCGCTCAGTGACTTCGCAAGTCTTATCGTGACGGTTTGAAACATTCCGGGTTTGTTTACGTTCGCTGAAGCAAGACACAGAAAGTTTCCTCCTGTGAGTTGCATTCTTGAACCACCATTTGAAGTAACCGACATTGCAGAGCCATCGGAACTGACGACTGGTTGCTACCCATACCCCAGATTATTGCAGCGCCCTCCAATTGACCTTTACCCTGTGATCGGGGTGCTGTCGCTGTACGGCAGACACGTTCCGAGTCCCCACACGCCCCCTTCGCTATCGATTGATCATGAGAATCTGACCCCGCAGCGTCTGCAATCATGAATCCCAACTCGTCGCACATGTATCCGCCCGCGGCGAACTATGAGGAAGAGCCCCCGGCATACGGCTATGGAGGCTCGTACCTCCCCGAGCATGAATCCCCTCGTCATGCCGCGCCGACCATGCGACTGCTGCCCACGAGTACTACGACGGTAGATGATGACTTCCGGGAAAACGTGGGAAATACCTCGGCCTACCATTACGGCGAGGCGTATGAAGAAGACGAAGATTCTCCGTAAGTAATGCACCTGTCATGTTCTGCCCACATACCGATGACTGCATTGGCATCTGGCCCAACGGTTCGGTTGCCCAGTTCCCTCCCCCTTGTTTGTGTCGAGCCAATGATGGCTCTGGGTGCAATCATTGCAAGTCGTCCGCTGGGGAAACAAGACAAGCCACTGGTAAACCTGTTCCCGGAAAGCAGATGATATATGCACGATTGCCCCTCTGTTGTCTTCCTTCCTGAACAAGGTCGAAGGACTCCATGCCCGAGTCCCAGACTAGTCCCCGAGGACAATGGCGCGACAGAGAAGAAAGAGATTTAACGCTCGCATCCCTCGTAATAGGACGGACCACCCGAGGCAAGTTTCAAACCGATACTATCAGTATGCAACGGAGGATGCGCCGTCACGACCAGCTTCCAGCATGCGAAATGCTCCCAACATCCCGCCACCCGCAACGTCGGTAGTCGATGTGCCCGAGTACTCACCACGTTCTGGTTCTCCAACCCGACCTTGGTCTCCCGGCCACGTGGGCGACTGGGCTAGGGCCCCAAGACCCCCCTCTGTTATGAGCTCGCAGTATGAGCGAGCCGACCTTAATGGCAGTCCACGCCCGGGTACGCCAAGTTCGAGATATGGAGGCAGTCCACGACGACCGTTGCCACCAGCTCCGTTGTTCACGGCTCCGCGATCTACGATGGGTGAGCAGGATACGAGCATCGACATCGGCGATCCGGACGACGACGTGTTCGGTGGTGGCGGAAGGACGATTAATCGTCATGGCCAACATGGCAGTGTTCATTCCTTCATGAGCGAATCGACCGTGATCACGGACGAAAAAGAAGCGATGAACAAGATTGATCTGGATGAAGATGACGAAGCGACGGGAATGGTGGATCCGAACCTGCATTACGGGCCTGCCCCAGAGAAGCAGAGTCGTCGAGGCGTTCGCGAAGCCCAGATGATCAAGAAAGAAGTCCAGCTGGTCAACGGTGAACTGATCCTGGAGTGCAAGATTCCGACCATTCTCCATAGTTTTTTGCCGCGTCGAGACGACCGAGAATTTACCCATATGCGGTATACCGCCGTGACCTGCGACCCTGACGACTTTACGCAGCGAGGATACAAATTGCGACAGCAAATCGGCACAACCATGCGTGAAACGGAACTGTTTATCTGTGTGACCATGTACAACGAGGACGAGATCTGTTTTACACGGACTATGCACGGTGTTATGCGCAATATCAGTCATCTTTGCTCCCGCTCGAAGTCACGCACATGGGGCAAAGACGGGTGGAAGAAGATTGTGGTTTGTATCATTGCAGACGGCCGTAAAAAGGTCCATCCGAGGACCCTTAACGCACTGGCGGCTCTTGGTGTATACCAGGAAGGTATCGCCAAGAACATCGTCAACCAGAAGCAAGTCAATGCACACGTCTATGAGTACACCACTCAGGTATCTCTCGACCCTGACTTGAAGTTCAAGGGCGCCGAGAAGGGTATCATGCCGTGCCAGGTCATCTTCTGCCTGAAGGAACATAACAAAAAGAAGCTTAACTCGCATCGTTGGTTCTTCAACGCTTTTGGTCGCGCCCTCCAACCGAACATCTGTATCCTCCTGGATGTTGGCACTAAGCCTTCACCTACTGCCCTGTACCACTTGTGGAAAGCGTTCGATCAGGATTCCAACGTTGCCGGAGCCGCTGGTGAGATCAAAGCAGGAAAAGGCAAGGGCATGCTGGGTCTTCTGAATCCTCTGATTGCAAGTCAAAACTTCGAATATAAGATGTCGAACATTCTAGATAAGCCTCTGGAGTCCGTGTTTGGATACATTACCGTGCTGCCTGGTGCGCTGAGTGCCTATCGCTTTTTCGCGCTTCAGAACGATGCCGAGGGCAACGGGCCGTTGAACCAGTACTTCAAGGGTGAGACCCTACATGGAAAGGATGCGGATGTGTTTACGGCAAACATGTACCTCGCCGAAGATCGTATCTTGTGCTGGGAGCTGGTAGCCAAGCGAGAAGAAAGATGGGTCCTGCGATTCGTCAAGAGCGCGGTGGGAGAAACTGACGTTCCCGACAATGTCCCGGAGTTCATCTCGCAACGAAGACGATGGTTGAACGGTGCTTTCTTCGCCGCTGTGTACTCCATCGTCAACGGAAAGCAGCTCTGGAAGACGGACCATTCCCTGCCGCGAAAGATTCTCCTCCAGATCGAAGCCGTCTACCAATTTGTCCAGCTTCTTTTCACGTATTTTGGATTGGTGAGTTGCCTATGATCTGAGTGTGATTGGGGCTATACTGACTTCATGCCAGGCCAACTTCTACCTGGCGTTCTTCTTCATCGCCGGGTCACTATCGGACCCAAAGATCGATCCCTTCGGTCATAACATGGGCAAATGGATCTTCATCATCCTGCGATACGCCTGTGTATTGGTCATGTGTCTGCAGTTCATTATCTCCATGGGTAACCGTCCGCAAGGGTGAGTGATCGTGTCCGGATTGCACGGGCGTCCTTCGCTAACTGTTCCCAGAGCCAAGAAGTTGTATCTCTCAGGAATGATCGTGTACAGCATCATCATGGTGTATACCATTTTCTGTACGCTCTACCTGGTTATTCTGGAGCTGATCGCGAAAACGGGAGGGGATGTAGATCTCCCCGTGAGCGACGGGCTCTTCATCAACATCGTGGTTTCCCTACTCTCGAGTGTCGGTCTCTACTTCTTCTCCTCATTCCTCTACCTGGACCCGTGGCACATGTTCACGTCGTCGGCGCAGTACTTCGCTCTCTTGCCCAGCTACATCTGCACGCTGCAAGTGTATGCGTTTTGCAATACACACGACGTCACATGGGGTACGAAAGGAGACAACGTGATCAACACCGACCTGGGTGCGGCGCGCATCATCAACGGGTCGATCGTCGAAGTCGAAATGCCTTCGGAGCAGCTGGATATTGATAGTGGCTATGACGCCGCACTGCGCAGTCTTCGTGATCGGGAGGAAGTGCCCGAGCCCCCGGTCCCGGAGAGTCAGCTGCAAGAAGACTACTACCGCGCGGTCCGTACCTACATGGTCTCGATCTGGATGGTTGCCAACGTGATCCTCGCCATGGCGGTCTCCGAGGTCTACGGAGTGGACTCGGGCGGCACCAACATCTACCTCGCCATCATCCTGTGGTCCGTGACCGGCCTGGCGCTGATCCGTGTGATCGGCTCGACGACGTACGCTATTCTGCACGTGGTTCAGAAGCTCGTGGAAGGGAAAGCCAAGTTCGATGCGGGCAATCTGGCCCATGGCACCGGCAGCGCGACGTCCAGTGCGGTCAACGGCAGCACGGTGCAGTATGGCGGCGGCGGCACGTTCCGGGATAAGTTCACCGAGGCGAAATGGGGCATGAAGCAGCAGGTGGGGAAGGTAATGTTCTGGCGGAAATGATTTTCTTTCTTATGTTTTCTCTTAATGCTTTTGCCATGATTTTCTCATGAAAATATTTGTCATGTTCACGGTTACGCGTTGTATGTACTGATTGATGATGGACCCATGGATGGGTATAATGATGTAAATGCACCTCTTCTATTCTCTTAATCATGAATCGACATGGATGTTTCCTTGTCTTCAGAATATCCACAACCACACAGCATGGGGATGACTTGGACCAGGTCATCAGTAGTCAGTCAATTAAGCTCTCAGTAGTGATCGAATCGACTTGAGAGTCCATTATCTGATCATTCACAATCGAGCCCTTCCTCCCTCCGACCCCCGAACCACCTCCTCAACCACCTTCGCCGCTGCGATGGTCTCCTCGTCTTTGAAATGTCTCCCGACCATCTGCAAGCCCACAGGAGCCCCTACAAACCGACCAGGATCCACCCACCACTTCCTCCACTCCCTCTCCTCCACCTCGTTCCTCGCCACCCAGCCCTCCTTGCCCCCGACATCCCCTTCCTCAACCGCCATCCCGGAAGGAAACACCACCGCCGGCAGATCGAGGACATTCCACACAGCCGTGTAGTTCCAATACTGCGCCTCATACAAGTCAGGCGCAACGCCCACATAGGCCGGACACAGAATGAAATCCACCCCTCTGGCTTTCATCCGCGCATGGTATTCGTCTCTGTATTCGTCGCGGGCGACGTTCAAGGCCCAGGCTTCGGCGATGGATAATGGCGTCGGGTGCGCGTAGGAAAAGGCCCATTCTGTTAGTGGCAGGATTGGTTCGTTGGTTTGCGACAGGAGGGTTTTTTGCGAGCTTGCTGTGTCGGGGAAGTAGAGTTTCGACTAGGGGGTTTCTTTAGTTTGTGTTTTGAAAGGGGGGGGGGGGGGGAGAGAGGGAGACATACGATTATGTCCCAGCCGTGGGCGTGCTTATAAGGATCCCAGTCTACGACTTTGATGCCGGCTGCTTGCAGTTTGGATCTGGCAGCTTTGAGTGCTCGAATGATGGGTGGATGCGGACGGACCGTTCTGTTTTCTCGTTAGCAGGGTGGCAAATTCCATGTACTGAAACATTTGAGGATAGAATGCAGAAGAGAGAGATGTGTACCTGTCATCCCACATGATTCCCACTGTGAACTCTCTGCTCTCCTTCACCTTCCTCCATGGAAGAGGAACCAAGGAGGTCTCGACATCCCACGGCTCTGCATCGAGAACCACCCTCTGGAACAGCTCCAGATCATCCAGACTCTGCGCCGCCAGCGGTCCCACAACGCCTAGGATGGCCTCCTGGCCGGGCTCGGGAGCCTTAATCCCCGAACAGGGGTTCCGCCGCATGGTTGGCCGGAACCCATATGCATTGCAGAAGGCCGCGGGGGCACGGATCGAACCCCCGATATCCGTGCCTACGCCTAGCGGGGCGCATTTGAAGCCCATTGACGCGCCTTCTCCGCCGGACGAGCCGCCCGGCGTGAGGGTGCGGTTGTAGGGGTTTGTCGTCGTGCCGGTGAGGTTGTTGCTGCAGCAGAGGTGCTGTTTTAGTTAGATGTGTTGCTGCATGGCTGGGGACGCTGGGAGTTCATACCATGAGCGACTGAGGTTGATTTGTCCGAACGTGGAAAATAGCGCCTGCTTTGTGAAGACATTGTAGGATGAGAGCATCTTCTGGCGCGATGTCGTTTACCCTGTGCTTGTTAGTGGATTTCTCTGTGATAGGCAATGAGCTCACCATGCTACGTAGCCGCCATTGCAGGTCAGGCCCTTGATGCCGATATGCTCTTTCACGCTGATTGGGACTCCGTGCTGTGGATGTTAGCCTTCACTCTGTCCTAGTATCTAACCCGTAGACATACCAAGGGACCAACTAACTTCCCCGTGCGCCGGTAGTACGCATCCAGCTCTTTGGCCCTAGTAATGGCTTTGTCTGCCATGAACTCCGTCGCGAAGTTCAGCTGTCATCATCAGCACATCTATGTCATAGAAGCTCAGCTGACAATGCATACCAATTGATGCCCCAGAACAGCCCTCTTCAAGAACGCAACTACCACCTCTTCGGCACTGAATCGTCCAGCCCCCATCCCGGCAACCAGGGATGTGGCGGACATCTCCGTGATCAACAGTTCCCTGTTGGTGAACAGTCCGCTGGCTCTGGGGAAGTCAGCGACGTTCTTCTGGTCGGATGGAGGCAGTTTGTCTTCGGGGAGAAGCCATTGCGTCGGAATGGAGCTTTGCAGAATGGTTTTGGCCTTAAGGGCTTCCGTTTGCCAGGTCGACATGGTTTGACGTCGTTGGATAGATTACTCGGGGTGGAGATGAGGGTGAGAGACCGATGGCATCCCAGGGGAGGAATGTCCCTTTTATCCTCCTTACCTTTCTCCTCATTCCAAGCTCCATGCGGGCTAATGGAGACGTGTAACTTGTTCTGGTCGGAGACGGAATTATGGTCCAATGAGAAGGGAAGGGTTGATATAGAAGGGGAATCCCCGCAGACGAAAAGAGTTTCGATGATAGTGGAGAAGCTTCTTATCTCTGGACCCAACTCGAGATTGACTGCTGGGCTGCCGTCACTCTGGACATTCGGTTGGACATTCGGTTGTTCGCGGAATTGGTTCCGCCATTCTTTCATGACTTTCATTTTCATTTCATGACTAACGGATTCTATGCCTCGCGTGTGTTGCTGGTCCTCGTCTATATACGCATGCTAATTAACAAGATTCGAAATACTCGCGTCAAGATCGTGAGATGTAATGTGGTTGCCCCAGAACCTCAGGCCTTCGATGCCCTCCTCTCGGCACAGGATGCCGCGATCCTCTGCCATCTCCAGCTCTTCGGCCGCAACCCCGACGCTCCATTTGAACCGCTGTGCTGCCTCCTGAGCGGTAATCGCACGCCCAAACTGGCGCCAATCCCACGGTGCTGGCTCATCCGGGGGAATCTGTTGGAGCTCTAGGAGCCAGTCTTGCAGCTGCTGAATGGTCTTCTCGTCACTCCAATCGTACCGCTGGACAACGAGCAGGCCACTCTTGAACCGGCGCAAGCGGACGGGTAGTCGTAATGATTCCCACAACTCGGCTGCCTTCTGGAAATCAGCAGGGCTCACCAGCTCGACTCCGTTTCGAGACCGATTGAAGAGGGCCCAGAGATCGATCAGGCTTATAATCCCGCCTTCCTTCTGCAGGATACCCCTCGTATCGTCGGTCAGGTACTCCGCGAGGTTCCGAGAGAGTTCCGAGAGGTACAAGTTTTCCGAGCCTGAGCTCAGCATATCCTTCGTCGTAACCATGCCCAGAGCTGCAGCCGATTCCGAGAGAACCGCACTAGTTTCGCTCGAAGTCTCGTCCCCCATACCGGACTCTCTGGCCAGAGTTTCCGCCAGCGTGACGATTTGCTTCGCCGAGGCCATCAGTGCTTCGAGGTCTTCGAATGCGTTGCCGATCACAACCTCATTGTTGCGGCGAGCTTCCAGTCCCCGCTGCTCTAGGCCTGCAATCCCAGGAGCTGGGGACCGAGCTGGCGTAGACACCAATCCATTCGTAGGCAACGTTGTATTTGGCGATGGCTGTTGTGGGACGGGCGGGGCATTGTAGAGTAGCCACTTTCTCTGGACTAATGCACCTTTGAGCCGCTCGTAGAAGGTCTTCTCACCACCTCCTCGGAAGGATAATTTGATGTTGTCCGAGATCTCCGTGTTTTTAATACTGCCCTGCAGTTGAATGAGGGGCGCTGGTGATTCAGCGCGATGCGGGTTGCTATTGGGAGTCTCCAACAGACTCGACAATGAAGCACCACATATTTCACACTCGTGGAGAGACGGATGATTCACAAAGGTGCACCTTGGACATGAGATTAGAGCCTGTGCTGTATCCTGACCCCCGCCTTGAGGCGCTGAGAGTATGGACGTTCCCTCATGGGAGGATGCCGCAGCGGCAATGGCCGCCTTCAACACCGTTGTGAACGGGGGCTTGATGCCGCAAGCCAGACAAGGCGGTATGTTTGTCGCCGTCGCCGTGGAAGGGTCGAAGTTTGAAGGGATGGGATTGGAGAACGTGCAGATCGGGCAGATCCATGTGGCATTCACCAATGTTGATGCGGATGGTTTCACTAATGGTGCAGAGTTTTGTACCCGAGGAGACTGCGACCTGGATAGACTGGTGCCTTTCGAACTGGAGCTGTTCTTGGGTGGTTTGGGGTGCAGTGTAATCTTAGGGGAGGATTTGAGAAAGCCTGCCTAATATTCGGGTATAGATAAGTACTAGACCAGACTAGAAATCCAAGAGTGAGGCATTTCATACTTGGTACTCGGCTCGATCGATGTCTCTCAAGTCGATCGCGACGGAGTGTTTGCGTGGTTCCTCCAACGCAACATAACAGACACGGTGGGATGTGAGGTATGCATGGCCATCCTGATAATGTGGGATCTTGTATTTGCTACTCGCACAGATATCAATCAGTACCGCTACAGGGCCGGTGGAACCCACAGTCACTCACCCCTCGTACAACCCCACCGCATCCTGGACGAAGAGCAGAGTCTCATCGGGCAACAGCGAGGGACGAAGTGCTGTACTGAGATCCAAAGGCTTGAAGAGCATTTAGTAGATCGACCAGCATCCCTCTTCTGACCGAAAAGAACTTGAGAAGAGGGGAACGAATGACTTGAACGTCTATCTTGTCGGAGGAGGAGATCGTACAGTAAGTATTGATGTCAGTGCCCTGATCCGGAAGGCGGTCAGAGACACCCGCGCCAAGCATCTCCACCACGAAACGTAAGCGAAAAAGGAACGTCTGGATATTCCAACTCGACCTCATCTGGCGCCTGATCACTGACTTTACTCCCTCTTCAGCCTCTACCTCTACGCAAACACTTCGTCTTCTTGCCTCACCTTTCTTTTCTTTTTCTTCTTCTCCTCCTTCCTTCTATCATTTTCTTCCCAGTGTCCCCTTGTGTAGGAGTGTTCTAAAGCATTTCCCGGTCACATCAGAATCCCGTAGTTTTTTATACACCTTCAAACCATCATTTTTCTTCTCTTCCCTTACTGCCCGTTTGCTTAGACTTCTTTCTCAATAATGAGTTCGGGCATTCCACCCTGGCGTGTGTCTGCGTCAGCCACCGCAACCGCTCAAACATATCCCACACATGGTATGATTCCCTCTCACTGCTCATGTGGCCAAGGTTGGTTAACCCGTATGATAGCGACCCCTGCGTACATCCCAGTTCAAGCACGCCGTAGCCTTGCCCATACAACCGTGGCGAGTCCCATCCCAGCCCCAGCGTCGCAGCCGTCGGATGCCGAAGCCGCTCGCAAACGAGTAGAATGGCCAGCCCCAGTTCGCTTGTATGTACAACGAAGTTTTGCTCCGGAACATCAGATGTCCTCCGTTAGCAGAGAGGAAATGGAGTCGAAGTTAAAGGCCGTCATTACTGAGGCTGCAGAGAATAACAAGTTGGATAAGATTGACTGGACGAGCCTGCCATTACCCCAGGTCATGGTCCAGAACGAGCGCAACCGGATCCTGGCCAGCCCAAACGTGCCGGCTTGGAGCGCCGTTCCTACCCAGAAGTATGAGAGCTCCTCCGACGCCTCGTCAAAGAAACGGAAGTCGGTTGAGTACAACGGGGGCGCAAACAGCTGTCCCCCGTGGAGACAAACTAACAATCACAATGCATTTGAAGACCGAATCACTTATTCCCCCACAGACAAACGCCAACGGATAGATCATAAGAACACAAGTAAGTCCAAAGCTAATCTGGAACTGCGGAGAAAACGGTTCGAGGACCCACGGGCTCGAACTGGTTCCTCGCCATCGTCGCGCGATGATTCCCCTTCTCCCAGTGCCAACCAGGGCCCTGTCGTCGGACGGTGCCAGGATCTGGAGAAAAACTATTTCCGTCTGACATCAGCGCCGAACCCGGATACCGTCCGCCCTCTGCCGGTTCTGGTCAAGACACTGGATCTGCTGAAGAAGAAGTGGAAGAGAGACAACAACTATAACTATATCTGCGATCAGTTCAAGTCGCTGCGGCAAGATTTGACTGTGCAGCACATTAGGAATGAGTTTACTGTCAGTGTCTACGAAATTCACGCGCGCATTGCTCTGGAGAAAGGAGATCTTGGTGAGTATAATCAGTGTCAGACTCAGCTGCGCGCGCTGTATGCCCAGCAACTTGGGGGCCACCCTACGGAGTTCAAGGCGTATCGTATTCTGTATTTCATCCATACCCGCAATTGGACGGCCATGAACGATGCCCTGGCCGATCTAACAGCAGCAGACAAGCGAGATCCTGCTGTCAAACATGCCTTAGACGTTCGCTCGGCTCTTGCGCTTGGAAACTACCACCGTTTCTTTCAACTGTACCTGGACACCCCGAACATGGGAGCCTACCTGATGGACATGTTCGTGGATCGAGAACGACTGTCCGCACTGACCGCCATCTGTAAAGCGTACGTGTTCGCCCGTCGACCATCTACCATATGCACGCTGACCACTTGATCACAGTTACAAGCCCGATGTAAACATTCGTTTCATTACTGAAGAACTTGGTTTCGAGTCTGACGAGCAGAGCGCACACTTCATCCTGGATCATACCTCGGAGGACTTGCTCCAGGAAAAAGATGGAGCCGTGAGGCTGCTTACCGGAGCAAAAGCCGCACAGCTTTTCGAGGCTGCCAAGGCTGATGCTCATCGGATTGTCGACATCAAGGGTCAGATATGAAATCCTTGAATAGCCCATAGGACACACAAGGGGAGACGGCCTGTCAATCACCCCATATCCACTTCTTTCCATACCTGCAATCGGTGGTTCTCATTTTTCTTCTTTTCACCTGTTCTGGGTTTCTTCCCCCCTTTCCTTTCTTTCTATCTATCATTGTTCGGCTCTTCTTTTTGGAGCGTCGCTGCGTCTCTATTTTACAGCTTCAGGAGATCTATACCCATTTCGACCGCAAAAGCGTTGGTAGTGTTGCTGAATTCGATTAGGCGATATTGTTCTTTGGGCAGGAGCTGGAGGGAACGGATGATTTCTGGCACTGAATTTGATTAGTCCATAGCAATCCACATAAATAGCAAGGTGATTAGTGTGTATAACTTCCCGGGTGCAAGCCACGAGGGTCCACACCGTATGCACATAGATAGGACGTTGTACCTAGTAGATGATAAGTCTCTTTTCATCAAGGACTGTGGAGGCGGCCCCACCAGGTGAGGGAGTGGGCCGCCGAATGTTTGGTCCGTCGGTTCCCCGAGAACAATACTCGGTAAACGCTCGTCTGCATTTAATCTGTCCGTACGGGCGGAGTGGTCTGGACAAGGCATCCAACTCCCACGACCTTTTTTGGGAGACACAACCCGGATATTACGATCCTCGTCTCTTGGTTCTCCATGGTCAATCTCTACACGTCCGGTTTGTCACCAACAGTGCGCTCAAACATATCCGAAGTACACGAAAGACCCGCAACGAGGTTCTCGAACGTGTCCGGCCCACATGGTCGGACAAAGTCCGTCGACAGAAATTACCAGGACGTCTTCGGGAGAATGACGAGTCAATATTCGTCCCCTGCCAGCACGTTCGTACCTGGATATGCCCGGCTGGCAGCTGCATCCTTGGCGATTTGATGCATGTACGTATGGTCTGATTTAGTTCTGGAATCATTTCCACATCGGTGGATCAGAGCCCCGATGAGGATGACATCTACCAAGGAACGTGCTACGACTAGTGTCCAGTCTATTCTTCTCTTGATCTAGCTGAAAATTGAAAATCAAGCCATCCGCTGGTGAAGGTAGGGCTGAGAGCTTCCGATCCGATTTCATTTATATGATACATCGATTCCATTTCCCCGACGCGCTTGATCTCGTATGAGTCATGCCAAGTGGGAAAGTCGAGATGGATGGGTCTGACAGCCGCACGAGGCGATCAGTTAAAATGACGCCCAGATTAGACCTATCAAGTGTGTACTATGTGCTTCTGCCCAGGATTCAGTTCCCTCCATCTGCGTCGGCGTACTAGTCCAGCAGCCAGTGGGGCCTGTTCAGATATTTTCACCTGTATGGTACTTTGTCAGTGATTTCGCACCTGGCGGTCAGTCGAAGGAGACCAACGCCTGCCTTTCAGCTGGGTTGTTCCTGGATAGACCAACAAACTCCCTTGAGATTGGTAGAGTCGGCCACCTTTAAGTTTTGACACACTAGTACAAAGTCTGTTGGGCCTTGACATCATCAAACGGGCAGTGTAAGCGAGCAGTTTTGCAAAACGTAGATCCTTGACCCACGGCCGCCGGGCTGGGCTGTGTCTTCAGCTCTTATGTCCACGATCGATGGGGAAAGGTCTGCATCGCCAACACCCCAACTGGTCAGGATGCAGTCGCCCTGCAAGGGCGCTGATCGCCGGACTGAGAAGCATACGCGAAGCTTGCGCTGGGAGGGAGCTATGCATGCGACCCATGAGAGCCGTACGGAGTTGATCCAGTTGGGTCGGCATCAGTTGGATTATTCTGGGCTACGGGATTGGACCAGGGATCCTGACTCAGATAGATCTCGATGGGGTTTATCGTTTCGTCGGTATGCATCTCCAGCTGTACGCTGCACGGAGAAGATGGTGCGGGTTCAAGTTGGACGTTAATCCCGGATCTTCGTTTCCGGGTTTCTGTTTTTGCTCTTGCTCTCCAATTTAGGTTATCCTCTTACATCGCCTGAAAGTTAAAAAGATGCGGGATGTTTAAAAGTGGAACGGAAGGGTTTGGAACCAAAGAAAGGACGATGGGGAGGGACGGTGAGTTGGAGAATCCGAGGCTAAGTGAGCTTATTTGGCGACGATGATGCCGAAAGAAAGAAAGAAGAATGTCTAGTGTCGGCACAGGAGACTGATACATGCCGATCATATCATCTCTTGACCAGGGGGGACTTTTTGCGGGCATCCTTCTTTTGTCGGGCATCTATCGGGATCATTCATAGACGGAGTACATGGCGAGATATTGCACAGACGCCGTGAACGAATGAAGCACAGACTCGGAGAAGTCACCCTATGGCAGTCAAGCCTGGACACACGGACCACAACTTTTTGTCTGGTTCATCTCTAATGAGCTGCCGAGGGCGTGGCAATTCCACATGGGACCTCCATCTGAACACGCGGTACACCATGCCTCTCGTTCTTAGCGTCCAGAGATTTCTCAACTCTGGTACGGATCCTTGTTTTCTAGTATGTTCGTTCGCTCCCACATTCCACCAGGAAAGAAGGATGGTCCACCAACAAGGAAAAGTAGCCGCTGCCCACGTTGATACTAGGGTTTCCCAGTTTGACTTTTTGATCTTTATCTTTTTTTCCCGTTTTGGTTCGAGGGAAGAAAAAAATCAAATCAAATCAAATAAACCAGGCGGACGAGGACGAGTGAAACCAGCAGGGCTGGTGCGAAGCAGACTAAGGCCGCACCGGGAGTATCGACATCAAACTAGTGGGTTTCGTTAACGCAGCAGGAGCCATTCGACGACCGGGGAGACTCTCCCGCTGGTCAAGGAAAACACTAAATCGAGGGTAATTTTAGGTATGCAACGGTCCCGGCTGGAGGTTTGAGGCATTATTGGTCGTCGTCTGTACTTTTTCTTTTTGTTTGGGATCGGTCCATCTGCCCCCTGTCCTCCATAGTATGTTTGCTCGGGGCCTTTCCTTGAATTGCGCTGTGATTTCTTGCCTCTCGAATTTCTCTAGTTTGAATTTTTTTTTTTTTTTTTTTTTTTTTTTTTTTTTT